CATACATCCTATTGGTTGTTTCCCTAGAGAACCATGCCTATTTAATATGAGGGACTCCCCAGGAAGATTCTACACTTTCAGCACTGGATTGGAACAGCTGTGTTTCCTATATTTGTTCTCAGCCCCCTCTAGCATGCAGATGGCCATTGTTGGGCTACCCAGCTTCTCTTCTGTAAGCCATGTTAATCTTTTTATCAAATACATCCTATTGGTTGTTTCCCTAGAGAACCATGCCTATTTCAAATGCCCAAAGTAAACTTTACCTACCACTGAGGACTGCCAGATATCCATACAACAAACAGCCTGCTCCACCACGAGCCCCTTAGCACTAGTTCCCTTGCACTGGGATCCACTCACTAGACGTGTGCTGGATGGCTTCATTTGTCAACTTGACACAGCTGAATCCATACAACAAACAGCCTGCTCCACCACGAGCCCCTTAGCACTAGTTCCCATCCCAGTGTGGCTCCCTCTCAGAGTCGTCTCTTGCGCTGGGATCCACTCACTAGACGTGTGCTGGACGGCTTCATTTGTCAACTTGACACAGCTGGAAAGAGGTAACCTCAATTGGGGATGTCTTCTATAAGACTGGACTGTGGGCATGTTCTTGATCATGAGTGATGTGGGAGGGCCCAGTCCACTGGATGATGCCAACCCTGAGCGATGACTCAGTGGCTAAGAGCACTGGTTGCTCTTGCAGAGGACCTGGGTTTGATTCTGAGCACCCACATGGTGGCTACGAACCGTCCTTAACTTCGGCTCCAGGGGAATCCAGAGCCCTCTTCTGACCTCCCTGGCATCGCACGACACTGGTGCACTCACATACATACAGGCAATAAACTCATACACATAAAATAAAAATAATTAAAAAAATTTTTTTAAAATGTGGAAGGAGAGAACCCCAACTTGAAAGTTGTCCTCTGACTTCCACATGTGCCAATACATACAAAAAATAAACTGATAAATATGCTTACTTATTTATTTTTGGAATTATGAAAAACAAACAAAAATGACTTATCTATGACCAATCACAGGGAAAGAATAAAGAATGCCACCAAATT